TTGCTTCTAGAATTGGTTAGGTGAGCTCTAGCTAGCCCGGCACCTTAGTTGCTTAATTAGTATCTTTGTAAGGTGCTAAAGAACTTAGATAGAGGGGTGTAGTCTTGGCTAGACCGTTAGTTTTAATTCTGCATTTATTTTGATTTGTCGACGCGATTATTTTTAGAAAGGACTATTCCCCCCCTCTAGTCCGCCATCTCGCCCCTACAGTGGTTAAGATAGGGTTGTATACACCAAGTGGTGGTGCTAGATGATGGTCATGTTGATGGTAGTAACCAAAAGAGAAGATCAAGTGCTCCAACTTAGAAAAGAAGAAAAATAAAAACAAAAACCAAGTGTCGATCAAGGCAAAGGCATCAAAAGATTTTTGTTTTAGTGATCAAGACACTATAGAGAGTGTGATCATATTTAGGATCGACAGCCGTACTATAAAGAGGAGAAATCTTTGGCTAACAATCGAGTGTCACTAGGTGACATGATTCTTGCATATGCATTTAGGGACCTAGTGTGCTAACAATTGACCCTTGAAAAATGCTTGGAAAAATGCTAATACACGGGCACATGAGTTGTACACTTAGTAGTTAGCAACTAGGAAGCAAGGGTGAAGCGGTTCAGGAGATAGAAAAAGAAAAGGGGTTGTTGATCTAGTACCGGACCCTGGCTAGCCTGAGTTCGGTCAGTACTACGCCAAGGCCGAGAGGGCTAGGTGATGATCGGACCCGGTGAACTGGTGAGATCGGACCCGCGCACGGGAGTCTGGTTATGGCTCAGAAGCGGCGTAGGCGACGTGGCAGTGACTGGACCTAGGTGCAGAGTTCGGTCATGATGATCGGACCCGGTCCGACACCTCTAGGTGCTCTTTGGACGGCTCTAGACGCGACCAGACTCTAGGGTCACGGTAGGACCGGACCCAACGCTACCCTGAGTCCGGCCATGTCTTGATTGAGCACGGTGGCGAAGGCTATGAGGACCGGACCCGCGGTTGAGTCCGATCATCAGAACCGGACCGAGTTCGGTCATGTTTTAGGCGTTCGGGAACTCTCTGGAAATGTTTGGACTCACGCGAGAATTAACGACCGGACCTAGGGCTGTGAGTTTGGTCTGGAGCTGATGTTTGTGCGTGACTTAAGTGACCGTTGGAAATCAACGGTCGAGGTTTAAAGCGAGGCCACGTGGATGGCCAGAAGCGACCAGACCTAGGCAACCGGACTCTGCTCAGGGTCCGGTCGGTGAGTCCGGTCCTGCCTACGCGAGCCCAATGGCTCTATGAGCCAAGGGGGCTCTATAATAGTTCTTGGCTGGCTTGGGGCTCACTCTCTTGGTACTTTGACATACTTGACATCCTTTTGAGCCTAAGCAAACACCTCCCACTTATCTCCATCATTGATTCATCATCATAGTGAGATTAGGAGTGATTCCTAGTGCATTTGCTTAAGTGATTGCATCTAGTGTCACTTGGGGTCGTTGTGGCTGCGGATTTCTTGTTACTCTTGGTGTTTGCCGACACCTAGATGGCTTGGAGCAGCGGAGGAGCATTGGCACGAGTTGATGATTGTTCGCGGCCATCTCCCGGTGATTGTGAGGGGTCTTGTACCTTCCCGGTAGAGAGCCGAAAGGTAACTCTAGTAAATTACTCATGTTATTGAGTTACCTCACTTGTGGGTAGGTTCCTGTGGCGCCCAAGTGTTGGGCTAGGTTTGTGAAACATCTATTAGCCGTCGAACCACCAAGTGTTGGTCGACACAACAGAGACTATCTTGCCGGCAAGCACGTAAACCTTGGGAGAAAACTTGTGTCACTTGTCTCTTGGATTTCTCCCGGTGATTGATTTGGTATTCATTGATAGGTTCATCTCTCTTGCCACGGTGGTATAATCATCCTACACACTCTCTTGTATTTACTTTGTTTACATTCTTGCCTAGTCAAGCTCGTTAGTGTAGTTAGTCTTTGAGAGTTTGTTAGTTTAGTTAGTGAGGCTCTTTAGTTAGTCATTGAGAGCTCACTAGCTTAAAGAGTAGTGAAATAGCTTTTGTGTGAACCTAGAGATCATAGCAACTAGAATTGTTGGTATAGGTGGCTTGCAACCCTTGTAGAGCTAAAGCAAAATTATGTGAATTTATGGAGAATTTTTATGGGTTATTCACCCCCCTCTAGCCATTTAGGATCTTTCAACAGGGCTAGTCTTCCCGGGTGGCTTGGAAGAGACGTGCGCCGCGCCGGTATGGAAGAGGCGGGGGCGAGTCATGCGAGCAGTGTGGACAGCGGATCTAAAGCGGGCGGTTCGGATGCGAGTGCAGGAAAAAGAGCTGGCGCGGGCAGCACGCGAATCCAAGCGGACGGGCGGAGCAGCCGCGGATGTCCGATCGCTAGTCAATCCCTTTTTTTAATAAGGGTTTCTCTTCATTACGCTCGGCTAACAAATCGTTAGCAACGATCATAGATACACTTTCAGGCATAGAGTTAGTGATCAACTCCTCTCCCTCATTACACAAATAACCCAATGTGATATCATCAATCAATTGATGATGATAAAGCATAGACATTAATTTTGACATTGCATTGTTGGCTCACAGTGGGTTTTATCATCTCAGCCCGAGAACCTCTGATCGGCTCTCGCGACATGGGCTCTGGAGCGCGCTGCGTGGAACAAGGCCCGGCCAACACGCGTCTCACCTGTGGACTACGTGCGCCACCAAGGCCTATTTCGCCTTGTGCTGCAGCTGGGGCTGGGGCTCGGTTTATGCAATCGTTCGGCTCAGCCCAGGCCCAGTCCTCCAGTAGCAGCCTTTCCTCACCTGTTCAGCAATGCATTCAGTGCTTACTACTATTCAGCTATGCTGTTGCAAAATCAACGGTCGGTCAGTAATGCATTCAGTGCTTACTACTGAGATGTTGCAAACATTCAGTCCCCATTGTAATGACGACTATTCAGCTATGCTGAAAACTGCCCACTCAAATTTATTACTGTTGCAAAACGCAACGCTAGCGTGCAGGAAGCTGCGCTGTACGCATTTACCGCCCACAGCGTAGGTAGGTGTCGCCGCCCCATCTGTGTTCAGAGGAAAAAATAAGTCTTTTTCCAAAAAAAAAAAGTAATCGTGAGTACATACGGCTTCAGTTGGTCGGTGTAGCGCTGACGGGAAAGTTAGCTACTAAGAGCATCTTCAGGAGACCAGCCATCAAGATGGGCACACTTTTGGCCTCGCTGAATCGCTGTACTTGCAATGTCAGCTGTAATGTTCACTGACATCTCATCACCATAATTTGTGAAAAGAATACTTGTAAGCCATCATCTTCACTGAAACATCTCTCCATGAAAATGGAGCATCCTAAAAGACACGTTACAAACTACTCCCGCTGTCCCTATGTCATTTTGGTTTTTCTAAATACACAACTTTTATGACGTATATAGACATATTGTATATTTAGGTGTGTAGCAAAAATAGCAAAAACTATTTATCTAGAAAAGACAAAACGACATATAATCTGGGACTGAGGGTGGTATGCACATATACTGAAACCAGCAGTATACAGAAATATCAGATGATCAGTTGCTCCCAAGAATGCTGTGTGCATATACGTCACAGAAGAAGTTATGATTTGTGTTAAGCTTGACAATGAAATCTGCCGGTCATTTATTTTGGCCCAGAAAGGTAGGTTCCTTGTATCTGTATCCGTGGGGATGATGCACATGCACCAGAACCAACAAGGAGCAATGGGGAGTAATCGTTTTCAGAACACAAATACTACAAGGACTGATGAATTACTGCGATCTTGATTAGGCAATTGCTACTAGTACTACTAATGCAGCAGTGAACTAATCCTTTAATAACTCATGCAGTAACGCTTTTCTTTCCTATTTTTTTTCTATACTCCAAAATTATCAACTAATTACAAGGCAAGACAAATTTGAAGAAGCAAAATGTAATTCTTCTTTTACATAATATCACTTCGGTTTGGTTGTGTTTGGATCTACAAAGGATTACATAAATTTACTAAAATAATGAGAATAAGATCCAAACATCTTTCGTTCTTACTTACGTGGATAACCACTTAGAATTCAATAACCCACTATCTCCTCCACCAATATTCGCTTTATTTTTCAGCACTACTTCAGTAGTATTTTTCAGCGAACGACAGTGTTTTCCTCTCACAACGAATCGGCATCAGCATCAGCAGCAACCAAATTTCAGCGAAACGAACAGGGCCATTATTTGGATTGTGCTAAAGCCTAGACAAAAAATGCACATAAACCCGGGGCGAAGACGAAATACTCTCTCCTTCTTACATAAGCCAAGATTTCGTAAGCTACATCATGTGCTACCGGATTACCAAACTCCATGGCTAACAAATTTGTTAGAGGAGGGGACAAAAAAAAAATTGGGAAGAAAACGGTGCCCCTGCACTGCAGAAGGTAAAAAGCAATGGAAAGCAGGGGGGGGAGGGGGCTGGAAAGGCAGCAGGGAGGGAAAGAAAGAGAGGAAGAAAAGGCAGTAAACGGACGCTACGACGCTCAGAGCCCAAGTGGTGCCGGATTTTTGTCAGTCTCCTCCCCAACTAGTCTCTTGTATCCAATACAACCTTTGCCTTCATTGCCGCAGTTGCGTTTCACATCCCCTACTCTCCATTTGCACCCCCTCCCATGGCCTGAATTCGGAGGCCCCCGCCATTCGCCGCGCCCCCAAATCCGCCGCCTCATCGATCGGCCCGGTGCCGTCGGCAGAAGCGAGGCTCCGGTACTTAACCTGAAACCGTGTTTTTTTTTTATCAGCCGCTGTTTCTTGCCGTTTTGACCGCCTTGTTTCCCCCAATATTTCGAACTTTCTTGGTGGTTCGGTTGAGGGGAAATGGTTGAATCTTTCTGGTCCGGATTCTTGGTCCGGGAATTCCGGGAGTTGGTACTTGCTTCTTGTGTTCTTGGAATGGCCTCGGGCTGAGGATTTTGGCTGGTTTGTTCCGATGCAGGTTCTTGGTTTCTTGCCGGCCGAATCTAACGGAATATGATGGATGATGGGGGAAGCCAAGGGATTAAGAAGGTGCATTTCAGGGATTCGTCCTCCCAGCACCCTATAGTTACCTACAAGAGGCGCCGGCAGCAGAAGCCACAGACACAGCAGCAACTGCCGCAGTCACCACCACCACAGCAGCAGCAACCGGAGCCACAGCCACAGCTGCAGCCGCTGCCGCTGCAGCAAATGGAGCCACAGCCACAGGTGGAGCCGGAGCCAAAGGCTGGAGATGTGCTGGCACAGCAGGTATAATCATTTAACTTTACAAGGAAACCTACAATACCTTTGTGTTGAAATGGAAAGAGATTTCATCTCCAATCTTTCACAGTTACTTGAAATTTGCAAATGCTACTGCTTGTAACCTATGTGCTCACCAGGTTTCCACATTCATCTTGTAAGTATCGAATAACATAGAAATTGTTGGTGTTTGCAAAGGACTGATTCTGCACTGTGGTTTGCATTAGAATGATGAGGATGTTCTTGTGCATCATACAAGCAGTGCATCAGTAATATGCATTTTGCAAATACAGTAAGCATCATGAATTTGTTGGAGTTGCCTCCTGGAGTAAAGTTACCAAAATGATGAAGTATTAGTGAATAGATTAAGAGCTTGCTATCTAGATGCTTATATATATATATATATATATATATAATCAAATTAGGTTGATGACATAAGCCGATACTTGACATGTTATTCTATGGCTGAGTCCATTTTTTCCTGACTTGTATGTTCATGTTAGTACTTGTTGCTCATGTTGGTATTCTGTAGAGTAGAATCACATTTGGTCCTTCAGCAGGTGCGTATGAAATTTGTCATAACAGTGTGTGTTGGTGTTGTATGTCTATCATTCTTTCTATTAATGCAATGATGCACAGATCTCCTGCATACTCGAGAAAAAAAATTACATTTGGCTCTGATTAGTTTATTATGAATCAAGCAAAACTGGATGTAATGGAGGCGTGCCCTCTCCCTGTCTCTCTGCCTCACTATAAGAATGGGATACTATGGATCAAGCATAGAATGTTTCTGCTTATTTAATATACTTAAAAAATCATCGCAGCTGATTGATAAACTCTGTAGGTTTCACCTTCTTAGGATGTAAGTGTGGGTTCTTTGGTTCCATAGGACTAAATTATTCTAAAAAATGAATTATTTTGGGTTAATTTGTATTATCTTTTTCTTGAAGAACTACATTGGTTACAACTTTTTTAACATCTACTCCTGGATTTGTGTTTTTCAATTTTCCCTTCAGTATGGATGCCAATTTCTATTTAGTTTTCTTGTCATAGTTAGCTGCATTGATACAAGGAAATTTCTCATGATTTGTATTCACAGATTAGTTATATCATATGGTTGCATTAATTTCATCAACATCATGAGAGAGGGAATTGTTCTGGGCTGAGGCAAAAGGATTCTGTCAACGTTCCATGTATTTTTTGATATTACAATGCCACAATGCAATTGAAGATAGAACATTCTGTTCTGCACAGCCAACATTTTTCTGATTAACACATAGCTTTTGCATACGAGGAAATTTGATACCAGTATATTTTTGCCATGTTGAAGAAAAAACCTTGAGTTGTACTTCAGCCTTTGGGAAAAAATAGAATACTATGTAGGCGATTTTCCTTTGCTTAACTTTAAATGTTCTCTTGCATTTCTGAATTTCGCTTCATCACTTGTTAAGGCGATTATACCTCATACATTTTACTTTAGGACATTCATTTGCTATGCCTTGACTGATCTGATGAACTTCAGATACATATGGCTAAATTACATCTTACCTCTTCTACACCATGATTTGAAACTTTATAATTTTGCAGAGTAAAGATACTTTTTGGAAAAGTAGGGATATGGGATGGAAGTATGGCATAATGATTGACGAAAATAGACAACACTGGAAGTGTATGTATTGTGGCCTAATTAGGTACGGTGGTGGTGTATCTAGACTCAAACGGCATCTAGCTGGTGATTTAGATGTCAAAATGTGCCCTAAAGTTCCAGCAGATGTTGTTGAGGAGATAAGGGAGCATTTGCGGAAGAAACGAGAGAGACGGAGGAAGCGAGCTGCACAAAATGGTGGTGACAATGTAAAGACTAAGAGCCCTTCTGGTTATGCTGATGTTGAAAAGGATCTTCTACCTTCTGATTCAGTGCTTCCCGATGGAACGGGCACTAATGTTCTTGAAGAAGTCACTAACCAAACGAGTTCAGTTCATCACGATACTGCTCCCAGGGTATATAAATGGACAATAAGCATTTTCTTTTTTTCTCTTTGATTTGTTTTGTACTCAATGTAACACCTACTGATTCTTACTTGTTTTGGGGGGATTGGGGGGGGCCTGAATCACTTAAATTTAGTAACATGTGCAGCCATGTTGGCAGATGATTCCAATCTTTGGAAAGAAAAAATGGGCAAACTATAAAGGGTGATCCTATTTGGCTAAACCATTATGCATTGACCATTTGTGATAAGAATGGTGCCAATAAAATATAAAATTACTTCGTACCTGTGAGATTGTAAATTTGTCTAATGTATCCATGAAGACTAGCACTGAAGGGAAAAATGACTTAGGATGATAAACTGGCCACTGTTAACCTTTTGCACACTCCTTGTACCTAAGTACTTAATATCAGCAACCGCTTAACTAATTTCAGATCTTCAACAAACTTTTGGTTTCTTGTGAATACTGACGTTACCATTAATCTTTTGTGTTCACAAAATTCAAATTGGTTTGCAGTTTCCAATGTTGCGAGCAAGGGATATTGGCTGGGAGCATGCTGTGGATCTTGATGGAAATAAAAGACGGTGGCAATGCAAGTTCTGTTCTCTTTGTCGAAGTGGTGGTGTAACTACTTTGAAGGCTCATCTCATTGATGACAGCTGCCCAAACGTTCCAAAGGAAATTTCAAAGAAAGTATCAAACTTCATTGAAGAGAAAAGAGCAACACGCCTTCTTTTGAATAATTATGTCTTTAATGTTGATGAGGATTTCAACACACAAGTTCAAGGAGAAGTGACTGTAGAATATGTAAATGAACAACAACCTTCGAGAAATACTACATATGTGCAAACATTAGATAAGGGTGCTATTAATGAGGTATCGTTGCTGTCCTTTTGTCTTCACCTTACAGTTTTGCCATATCATTAGTGCTCAATGCAGTAGCCATGTCATAGGGAAAGAAAAAGAGAATTCTGAGGATTATTAGTGAGTCCAAATGCCTTGTGAGACTTTGATGGCAGATTCTCATTTCTTTTCCAACATTTTCCCCTTGTAGCTAAGCATCAAATCTTTATTCTTGAGCCTTTAAGGGCGGGCCTGGTGCAAGCGGTAGAGTCTTACCGCCTATGACCGGAAGGTCCCGGGTTCGAGTCGCGGTCTCCTCGCATTGCACAGGCGAGGGTAAGGCTTGCCACTGACACCCTTCCCCAGACCCCGCACAGAGCGGGAGTTCTCTGCACTGGGTATGCCCTTTAAGGGATGTTGTTACCAAGCGGTTGGCATATTGGGAGTGTAGTACTTCCTCTATTTCTTTTATAAGGCATATTAGGATTTGAGAAAGTCTTTTAAGTTCCAGATATACTATGCTTAATAATTTCTCTTACAATATATTATCAATTACGTCAAACTAACGGCATACTTAAAGACATGTGAAATATGAATCTGTTGATGCATCTTTTGTGCACTAAACATAATTTTGACTATTGGTCAAAATTTACAATATTTGACATTTTTTATTCGAGTACGCCCCATATTTTGAAATGGAGGGAATACTGTTATTTAGGGGCATATATCTTGTATGAACCTCTATTTAGCTTGACCAACACAGCTAGTAGACATAGGGGGAGGGATGTTCTACAATCCTGCTACCTGAATTCATTATTTCCAGTGATGTGGACGAAACATACATCACTGGAACTTAGCTATTTGTTTTAACATAAAACTTACCCCCCCTTTTTTTGTGTGTGGAGAAGATAGCAGCTGGAAGCAAGCAATGTGGTGCAGAAAGTAGTGGCCAGCCAGTTGAGCGTTGTGATCAGCCTGAAGAGCAGTGCACAATGGATTATGGCAGGATGGATCAAGTGACTAGCAATAAGAACCAGATTTTGGACAAGAATACTGAGAATTCAAAAAATACCAAGGTACTTCACCTTCATAAACCTTACAGGAAAATGAAAGTTGGTTGTCCCTGGAGGAAGCTGTCTCTTTCTCTCCCCTGTTATTGAGTTATTAGGTCTTTTTCTTATTTTAATAAATAAAATGTTTCTGTTTTAAATAAAAAAATATACTATGCTTTGAGCTTTAAAATTGGTTGTAGATGTTGAAACCATGCCGGAAAAGTGAGTTTAACACAAGGAAGCACATAATTATTGTTGATCAAAGTGCGAGGCATTGGAGGTGTAGATACTGTGGCATGGATGGGTATGGTAAAAAGTTTTGGCTCCATTATCATCTAGCTGGTGCATTTCGTCGGCCTAAGTGTCCAAATGTTCCTAGAGAAGTCTTTGCAAAAGCAAGACGCCATGTTCTGACAAAGAGAAGGCTAAAAAAGAATAAAGCTGAGCAACAAATTCCTTCCAGTCCACATATTCTTGGCCAATCCAGTGAAGAACGGCAGAACAATGATCCATTATGTGGGAATCAGTCTCAACTGTCAATAAACAATGAACCTAGGGAGGTACTGTTACTATTTGTACTCACTTTCCCTGTTTCTACTGATCCTGTGATGCCATATAATTGTTCATTATTCTGAGAATTGGAATAACAATCCACTATGTGCCATCCTTCATCTGTTCATTATAGAGGTGCAAGATCACCGATCTTCTATGCACTAGATCTATATCTTGTCCCTTTGCAACTTTCTTCCACAGTTGAAGTTGCATTAATCATGTATAATAATCAGAATTCAAGTTTTTTTTTTCTTGAATACCCAGAAGAATCAGGATGTTAAGTTTTATTTGCAAAGCTTCCCTGATTAACACGATGTGTATTGGCTCCTTTTAAACACATCTGAAAACTGTCAGATTCAGGATTAAGCTGGGATTTTGCTGATTGGAGCTGAAGTGACTTATAGATGCCTCTCAATTTGCCATTGATTTTTTCTGCCCTTTTTCTGCTATTCAGTGGAGCATGTTGTTTTATCATACTATTTGGAAACAAAACTAGTGGAACCCTACTTTGCCACTATGTCAATGACAAGTGGGGCCTGACCCCACATGTCATTGACACACTCGATGGTGTTTTTGGCAAAGTGCAATCCCACTTATAGTATGGTGACAATCTCTATAGCTTTTATGCACAACATTTTGTGTCTCTTGTATGGTTGACTTTAGATGTTAATATAAAGCTGTATCAGACGAGAAATTGCTAAGAACGAACAAGATAACTTAAAATTTTTCTTTTGGGAACTTGCACTTAAATTTTCCCTAAAGAAAAATCTTATTGGATATGAAATAATATTGACATTACGCAATAGATGCGTTTTTTATGGTGTACCTCCTTGTGGCTAGAGCCTTTTTGCTTGCTAGTGAGGAAATCCAGTTGTGGGGTTTGGCTGGGGCTAAAGGTATTTTTTTACCTTTTCACGCAGTTGTCACAGCAGTGTGTGTGTGTGTGTGCGCGGTTGTAAGGTTGCAGTTGTATGTGGTATTTTGGGTTCTTTCCCTGGCGCAAAGGTGATTTGTAGTCGTTTTGGGTGTGTGTGGTGTTTTGTAAGGGTTCCCCCATTTTTCTTCTTAATACAATGTACACAGGTCTCCTATGTGATAAACATGTGACTTTTATAGTAATGATAATAACTAATTAAGTACAAAATGGTCTTACAAGCTTCTTTTAAGTATACATAGGTTAACAAGACCATGATAACAAAGAATCTAATCTGTCTATGCACAGATCATTGCTCAAGAAATTGCTATACAGTAAGTGATAGAAGCCAAAGGCTGAGATTGATTAGCTTAATGAGTGATTACAGTAGAAGAGTTACATATATATAGAGAGAACAAGAGAGCCCAAAGGGCCTGGCCAGCCTAGAGGCGGCGCCCCAAGGGGCCAGTCTAGCCTAGGGAAAAGGCAACAATAAATAGGGACTAATAACTCTAACACCCCCCCGCAGTCGGAACGTTGTTGGGACGAACGTTCAGGCTGGAGCGAAAATCCATGAAGACCGAGGAGGGAAGACCCTTGGTGAAGACATCGGCGAACTACGACGTGGTGGGAACATGCAAAGACACGGACAAGCCCTAAGGGCGGACCTGCTCGAACGAAGTGGAGGTCGATCTCCACGTGCTTGGTGCTACCGATGTTGAACGGGGTTGGTGGAGAGGTAGACGACACGACGTTGTCGCGATGAGACGAGGGAGGCAGAGGCCGGCCGGGTGATGCAGCTCTGGAGAAGAAGTTGCATGCCAGAGAGGTTTCAAACCACGCCGTTAGCAACAAATGTGGTATTCGCCTCAAAGACTTGAGCACTAAAGCGTGGGTTGACGCTTGAGGACCAGGAGATGAGGCGCCACCGAGGAAAGACAACAGTGAGCCGAGGAGGTGGAGCGGGCGGGTGTCAGGGGCGGGCCGGCCATCGGCGTCGGTGTAGACCACGAAGTGAAGTCGAAAGCAGAGCGAGGAATGACAAGGCCAAAGTCAAGAGTGCCTCGAAGATAGCGCAGGATCCGCTTGGCGACCACAAGATGAGCTTCCCTGGGATCGTGCATGTATAGGCAGACTTGTTGAATAGCGTAGGCGATATCAGGTCGGGTGAAAGTCGCATCAAGGGCACCAAAGAAGGTTGCGGTATGTTTGTAGGATCGACAGCAATGCAGAGCCGGCAAGAAGGAGAGACCTTAGCACAAGTGTCAACGGGGGTAGAGCATGCCTTGCAGTCACTCATGCCGTGGCGAGCAAGAATGTCCGAGGTGTACCGACGTTGTGAGAGAGAAATAGAGTGTCCGGTTCTTGTTGAACAACTATGCCAAGGAAATGGTGCAGAGGACCAAGATCTTTCATGGCTAATTCTTGTTTGAGTCGTGATGACCCGGTGTAAGATTTGCTGAGAAGTTGCAGTGAGCACAATATCATCCACATAGAGGAGCAGATAGACTGTCTTAGTACTGCGCCGGTAGATAAACAGAGAGGTGTCAGACTTGGCTTCGGTGAATCCCAGAGTCAGTAGAAAGGAGGCAAACCGGCTGTATTACCGCGCTGTGTGCTGCGCTTCAAACCATAGAGTGACTTGTTGAGTTTGCAAACATGTTCGGGGAGAGTAGGATCAACAAAGCCACCGGTGGCTATGAGCGAGATATCTTTTTTGACAGATGAGTGCCATGAAGAAAGGCATTCTTCACATCAAGTTGATGGATCGGCCAATCCTCGGAATGAGCCAAAGTGATGACTGTGTGCGAATCAGAAAGGTGTTTGACAACAGGGCTGAATGTTTCATCATAATCAACACCGGGTTGTTGAGTAAACCCGCGAAGAACCCAGCGAGCCTTTTATCTGTCCAGAGAGCCATCAGCATGAAATTTGTGCTTGAAAATCCATTTACCGGTGACAACATTTGCCTTGAGAGGACGAGGAACGAGGTCCCAAGTGTGGTTGTCGAAGAGAGCAGCAAATTCCTCTTCCATGGCCTGACGCCAGTGAGGATTGGCAAGAGCGTCGCGACGACACGCATGCTGGGAGAGGACCTCGGCATGCGCATCAAGCGAGGTCGCCGGAATCGATCTTCCCACGGGTAGCCATACCATGGGAATTGGCGACAGGTGGGATGGGAACAGCCCCAGTTGGAAGCTGGGGGCCGTGCTTGACATAGTTCGGTGGAGATGGGACGATGCTGGAGCGTCGAAGAGCGGGAGCCTCAACAGAAGGCTCGGTCGTCGGGCTTGGTGCAGGAGGACGCCGGTGGTAGACGTGGATGATGGGCGGCTGTGGACCGCACACTGTCTGAGGCGTCTTGAGGGTGCCGAAACATCTCTGTCTGGGGCGCGCAGCAATCGGACAATGGGCATCGTGGGCACTCAGACAATGGGCGCCGCAGTACAGAGGGCGCCAGAAGTGCCGGGACAGCGGATGCCGCAGACGCCAGCATAACGGGTGCTGCGGAGTTCTCGAACAGGGGCGGCCTGGGCGGGGGAGAGGCTGGCGGAGGCCAAAGAGCCACCTGGGAGTGCTGCAGATAGAGGAGGGACTGACAGGAATCATCATTAGTTAGAAAATCAAGTTCGATGGGGGTGGAGGGAGGGCCGACGGAGGGAAAAGGGAAACGTTGTTTCGTCGAAGACAGCGTGGCGAGAGATGATGACCCGATTGGTGATAAGGTCAAGGCACCGATAACCCTTGTGATCCGGAGAGTAGCCGAGGAAGGCGCACAAAGTGGACCGAGGGGCCAGCTTGTGAGGGGCAGTGGCGGTGAGATTTGGATAGCAGGAGCATCCAAAGGTCCGGAGATCATGATAGGAGGGAAGGGTGCCGTGGAGAGTGAAGAAGGGGGTGCTCATGTGCAAGGTTTTGGTGGGGAGGCGATTAATGAGGTGGGTGGCTGTGGCGAGAGCATCGGCCCAATATGAGGAGGGCATGGAAGCTTGGAACAACAAGGTGCGGGTGGTGTTGTTGATGGTGCGAATCATGCGTTCGGCTTTGCCATTCTGCTGTGAGGTGTAGGCGCAGGACATGCGGAGAGAGACACCTTTAGCAAGGAAGAAAGCACGAGACGCAGAGTTATCAAACTCGCGGCCATTATCACATTGCACAGCCTTGATGACGCACCCGAACTGAGTGAGCACGAAAGCAAAGAAATTGGAGAGAACAGGGAAAGTGTCGATTTCAAAGTAAGAGGAAATGTCCAAACAAAGTGTGAGCAATTATCAATAATGACTAAATAATATTTAAATCCAGATACATCGATGACGGTGATGTCCACAGATCACAATGAATTAAGTCAAAAAATTTTATTGCTCGGATAGGGAACTAGTGAAGGGCAGTTAACATGGCGCCCAAGTCGACACGCATGGCGAGATAGAATCATCATCGGTTTTCGCGCACACGATAGAAGAGGTTTGAGCAAGACGTTGAAGGGCAGCTTTGCCGGGGTGTCCGAGGCGGCGATGCCAAGTGGTCGGAGATGGAGTGGCTACGAGAGCGCAGGAGCCGGAGGATGATGATGGAAGCTGCAGGGTATACAGAGGCCCCGAGCTGTTACATCGAAGGAGGACGTTCTTGGAACGGAGATCCTTCACAGAAATACCAAGAGGGTCAAATTCAATAGAAACAAGATTATCAGTGGTAAACTGTCTAACAGAGAGAAGGTTTTTAATAATATCAGGGGCAACAAGAACATTATTAAGGTGAAAGGGACTAGGGAGAGTGGAGTAGCCAGTGCCCATGACCGGTAAAGTGGCTCCATTGCCGACAACAATGGAGGAGGGGAAGGAGGAGGATGGTGACAAAGTGACCATACCGGAGTTAGAAGCGATGTGGGAAGAAGCTCCCGAATCGACGACCTAGTCCGAGGCGCTTGGCGGCGGAGTGAGGGAGACGGTGCTGAACACGTTGGCGAGCGCCTGAGGATCCCATGGAGACCACGCAGACGGGGGCACTGGGGCGGGCGGCTGGTAGAAGGCAGCCGACGCCGAAGGATAATATGCGCCGGGGGCAGCAGGGCCAGCCATCATGGCCTGCTGTGGTGGCTAGACAGGGCGCGGTGGTGGGCCGCGAGAGCCGCCAGAGGAGGACCCAGGCCACATATAAATGGACCCAGTCCACGGGTTGAGGAAGGAAGGCCACTGTGGGCCACGGTGGGTGTGGGCCGCCAACCGAGTTGTTTTGGCGCGACCATCGCTGGCGACGCGCCACCACGCGGCCATTGTTGCCACAAAATGGAGCCCCCGCTTGGTGGTGGATGTCGCGGGGACGCAGCAGCAGGGGTGGGTGTCCTGGGGGGCGTAGAGACGACGAGAGCTGAAGAAGGCGCCGAAGGCGGTGCCATGTTGAGCTCGGCCAGGCGTAGGTCGGCACGAACGTCGACGAAGGAAGGGAATGGTCGCTGGCGGGTGACGAGTTGAGACATGAACTGGAAACATTCATTGAGGCCACGCAGGACGTTCAGCACGAGGGTGCGGTCCTGGACGGGCTCGCCGAGATCAGCAAGTGCATCGGCCATGGTCTTCATCTTGCGGCAGAAGTCGTCGATGGAGAGGGCACCCTGGCAGAGAGTGCGGAATTCGGCGTCGAGGAGCATGGCGCGGGACTCGCGATTGTTTAGGAACCGCTGCTCCAGCCCGAGCCATGCTCCCCGAGCGGTGATGCCTTCCCGCTCGTGGACGACGTCCAGAAGGTCGGGGGAGATGGTGTTGAAGATCCAGGAGACAACGACGCAGTCCATACGGGACCACGCCGGATCGTAGAGGCGGGAGTCGTCGCAGAGGACGTGATCCTTCAGGGCAAAGCGGCCGAGGAGGAGGAGGACGTAGCCGCGCCACTTGGAGTAGTTGGAAGCCTGAAGATCGAGGACGATCGGGATCAGGTTCTTGATATTCTGGACTGCGGCAGCCTGGCTGTGTAGATGGGCGATGGCGGCTGCTTCAGAGGAGAAGGAGCGGGCGTCGTCATCGTCCTGCGGGGCCTCGTCGCGATGGGAGTCGCCGCGAATGCGCTCCCGGAGGGCCGCGGCCTGCTGCTCCAGGGCGTCTGCCTGCGCGCGCTCTTTGGCGAGAGCGGCGGCGGCGAGGCGAACGCGCTCCTGGGCTGCGGCGGCGTTCTTGAGGAGGTTAGCCTCCGCCTGAAGGGCCAGGCTGCGCTCGGTGTTGGTGGAGCGCAGGGAAGTAGCCTCATCTTCCAGCTTCTGGACGGCGGCGAGTGCCTCGTCGCGGAGCTTGGCTGTGGCGGAGGCACCCAGGACACCGGAGGCGGAGGTGGCGGCCATGGGTGCGCGCGGGCGACGGCCAACCGAGGGGCGCGCGCGCGGGAGCCGGGCGCGGCGAGCGAACGGGCGGACGCGAGCGCCGAGAAGAGCGGCGCGCGCAGCGACCGAGAGGGCGCGTGCGTCTGGGAAACGCGCGCGCGCCTGGGAGTGCGGAAACGGAGGGTGGGCGGTACGGCTCAGGAGAGAGCGTCTGATACCATGATAGAAGCCAAAGGCTGAGATTGATTAGCTTAATGAGTGATTACAGTAGAAGAGTTACATATATATAGAGAGAACAAGAGAGCCCAAAGGGCCTGGCCAGCCTGGAGGCGGCGCCCCAAGGGGCCAGTCTAGCCTAGGGAAAAGGCAACAATAAATAGGGACTAATAACTCTAACAGTAAGATTGTCCTGTAGCCAGGATAAATGATGCGATAGGAATTTCCTAGGAGCTCTTAACTTCAAGAGATTCATGTCAAACAACACCATTCTCTTCAATCAATACTTGTTTGGAGGCACCTCATCAAAGATGGATCTGTTTCTCTGTAACTAATGTGCCAGCATCCAGGAGTTATGGCTCTATGAAGGCCATTTTGTTATGATGAACAATTACTCTAGCTGCTTCAAGTCCTATTCAAAACCCCAAAGGTCCTCAGTCTAAACTGGCAACCAAAGAACAAGTGATCACAATCTGATTGAATCCTGAGGTTGTTCTTTAGTGGCCATGTTGATTTAGCCATTGAGTATTATCCAATAGAAAGTTGGGTGGAGACCTTTAGCTGCATTCTGATTGAGAAGATAACTCCTAAAAGAATCAACTTAAAAAAAAAACAGAATAGGAAACTGTTTGAATGAAAGCATAGACTGTTACAGTTTGTTATGTCCAACTTAGTCTTTAATTGAATTCATTCTTTCACCGAGGGGTTTATTTGTTTAATTTTCAGGCTGCTTTTTATCCCTTAGTTTAAGTTCATATTTAAGAGGAATGTTCTCTGAATTTTTAGGTACACAATTACCCTGCAGTGCTAAGGGACAGTGCATGGGAACATTCTCTGATATATGAGAAAGAAAACGGAAACTGGAAGTGCAAGTGGTGCAGTATTGAGGGTGATCATGGTTTAACTAGATTGAAGTGGCATCTTGTTGGATGGCAGAACCACCCTCAGTGCCCAAATATTCCAATGGATGTTGCTGAAAAGATGAAGGATCAAATGATGTCAAAGGAGGAGCAGAAAGCGAGATCAGGTTTATTTGACGGTAATGGCTATTGTGACGTGCTGTGCTCTTCTAAGAGTTCACAACTTGATCAGGACCATCTCACTGCAACAATACATGACAGATGTTCTTCCCAGGCTTTTGACCAAGCTAACAGTGAATTAAAAGAATGCAACATGTTATCCAGTACTACTCTTCTTTCAAAAGAGAGTTCCAATCCTCAGGTGCATCATGAGGATCCTCAGGTGTGTCATGAGCAAGAGAGGAATGAGGTTGCCACCTCTTCAGAACCTGGCTGTGAGCAAGGTCAGAGGATGCACTGGCAGTCGCAAAATAAGGTGTAGTAACCTTAGAGCTCTGGTACCATGTTAATTTCAGAAGTGGAGATTATTCACAACTGCACACTTTATTTAGTAGAATGTAGTACAAGGTAGCTAGCCCTAGATTATGTGGCCCTTATAAAGTTATATAGTAGCTATGCTCACCTAACAGATGCAATGTACATCTTTGGTGGTCTATTAGGAGTCTAGGGCCAGAATTCATGCAACACTGTTTGTACGATTCTTGGCTGTATCAGCTATTCATACTACTGGAACTCATCATCAGCTGTAGTTGGATCTCTAGGCTGTACAAGGGTGAAAACCATATATGACTCCTTTGGTGCACCATTAGTTAGAACTAGCAACATGGATACTAGCAGTAAGTCAACACTATATTGACTAACTGGAACATTTTTCTTACTGAAAGACTTGTCATCTATGTAGAAGTAAACACTAATAGCACTTTCTTGCCTTCCTTAGGTATAATCGCATGGAAATCAGCAATCCACGTTCCTGAACCATGAAGTAGTCTTTAGATCCCTTGGAAATATTACTATTATATGCCCTTTGATATAATCTTTTCCTTTTTGTTGGTGGTTCATGTTACTTGGGATTAAAAGACTTCGTTGTTGTTGCTGTTTTACAACATTTCTGCTGGACTAACGTGTTAAGTACTAAAAAGTGTTCATTGTGCAGCCAATGATGGAAGAAGGACCTCATGGGAATGGATTATGTGGTGACACAACCAAGTTGGAGGAACAAAGAAGTGACTTTGGAATTAGTGACTGCTGGAGATATGTGTTGGATAGACTAATGCATTTGCCTGATGTACAAGAGGATGCTGGAATTGGGACATGCATCCGCGATGCTCTTCTCTATGGTTGTGCTGAATTTGGCACAGTAAGTGTGAAAATCACAGACATTCTTGCATTGTTATATTATGTTAGCATTTAGTAATCTATAGAACAATGAATTAAATATGCTACATACTCTTTGGATAAAACAGTAGGTCATCAACACCTCTTTTCAGAATACTGTAGCTGTAATAATATATTTAAAGGATAAATCATCATGATATCATCTTCAGTAATCTTTTTCTGGGCTTATACCAGGTAGCTGACAAAGTGGAAATGGATCGTGATAAAACAGTGAATGCGAACACTGCTAGGTGCCAGAATATTCTTATGGATGTTTTAAGATCGGAGAACTTTGCTTTGTTGTGCACTGTACTCTGCAGAACTGTACATCAAGATGGGGAAAGAACTAGATATTTTGATTTTGGTCTGATTGATTCAAGGATGAAAAATGGAAATTATGGGCATGAACCTGAATTATTCGTGCATGATCTGAAACTGGTACCAACTTCATGACTTTTGGGTTGATATTTCTTCTAGTTTTGTGTCATGTGTTTTGAAATTTTAGACTCCTATTAAATTGCAAACGTAGTGTTGTTGCGCACATGCGTCCAGCACCTAGATCTTACATTATATAGTGGTTTTCTTTTATATATATATATATATATATATATATATGTAGTTCAGGTACACAATCTCGGTTTCAAGGCCCTTAGTTGTAGTGTGGTTTGTTGGCCATGGTAATTTTTTCTTTTTGTGAGTTTTGAGTGGTGTGTGTTGTGGGGGGGGTCCAAGCCCCCCTTGTTTTTGTACATTATGTACTTCTTTATCTTAATGTGACACACAGCTCTCTTGCATTGTTCGAGAAAAAGTTCAGATACACAATTTATTTTATTTTCTGCATTTGTAAACATTGTGTTTCAGCACTGCTATTTTTACCTATGCTGAGCAGACATTTTTTGGTGGGTATATATTTTATAAATTTTTTCATAGTGGTTTGTTAATCGTCATTTTTATATTGTTGCAGTTATGGGAAGATCTTAAAGTGGCTGGTCAAGATATTATTCACCTAGCAAATAATCTATCAAGCCTCACAGAGGACTCCTACAAAAAGCTGGCAAGTGCTTGATACCTGAGTTTATTTGAATTCTCAATATGTCTCAAAAATTTCCCCTAAACTTTCTGATTGACCTTCGTTTTTTTGCTTTTTAGTTCTAATAAGCCTCTCCGCAGATTTTGCGGGGGAAAGGTTTGTCTCGTTTATCCCTTCCCCAGACCCCACTCATGTGGGAGCCTCCGGCACTGGGTCTGCCCTTTTTTTCTAATAAGAATGCCTTGAATATCAGATATATTTGCATTTAATTTGTTCAGTTGTGTAGTTGGTATATACATTGGCACTGAAATTTGGAATCTGATATTAAATTCTCTAGGTTGGAAGAGAGAGAGGATCAGATGATGGTGAGCTCAATGTGAGTGCTTTGTTGTCAACGTTTTGCTTTATTGGCTCTTCTGTTTAAATTATGCATTTCCTCACCTTGTTCAATATTGCGCTACCTCTATTGCAGGGAGCTGTGGTGGCCAGGTCTGAACCCAAAAACCTAGTTCAATCAAATGCATTGGTACCCTTGACCTCACAAGGCTTTAACCAATTGGATGAACCTGGGCCTTCTGATCTTTCTGATGTATATAAAGACAGTATCTGCAACCAATGTGGAAAAGAAGCAAGAGCCGGTAGCGTTCTCAAATGTTATAGGTGCATGCTACCTTGCCACATTTCATGCATTGAGGCTACTGATTCATCCATTTCAACTGGAAGGTGGTGTTGTAAAAACTGCAGCGCTGGCTCTAAGGAACCAGTTGAAGGAGACATGGTCTTAGCCCATTACTATCCAAATTGCTTGCATGAAAATTGTGTTGTCTGCGATAGACTGGCGGCCTGCAGGTCTCCAAAATGTGAAGATGCACCTAATGATAACTCAAGAGCAATGGTCATTTCCAGTGTGGACTCCTTCGCTGACCCAGAACTGCTAGAGATTGATACATGTTACTCATGCAAGATATGTGGAGATACTGAAGAGGATGAGAAGAGGTTCTTGATATGCGGCCACGTCCACTGCCTATACAAGTACTACCACATTCGGTGCCTGAAGTCCAAGCAGATTTCAAGCAATGTCCAGCGGGACCAACCGTGCTGGTACTGCCCATCTTGCCTTTGCCGAGTTTGTCTGTCTGACAAAGATGATGATCTGACCATCCTGTGCGATGGCTGCGACGAGGCTTACCATCTCTACTGCATTACACCTCGCCGTACTTCGATACCCAAGGGGCATTGGTATTGCTCATCGTGTAGCGTGGAGAGAGCAAAAGAGGGGATGAGACAGTATGAGAGGACGCTGAAACAACACCAGAAGGACGATGCAGGACTGCAAAGTTGGAATTATGATGGTGTGGACCTGCTACTATCTGCCGCAGAGCAGCTCAGAGAAGATGAGCAGCTGGTGACTCGTACAAATTAGCGTGGGACCTTTCATTGCAGCTAGACTGTGGTTCTTTTGCTCTGTAAGTAAAGTGGATTTTGCTTTTCAGAGACTTGAAGGATTTGTTTGAAGAGGAGAGGCCTGCCTCAGGATCAGAAGGCTCGGGCAAGGGCACTCAACAAATTTGCTGCAGTCCTCTCACGGACTGATGAAAATACAAGATCTTCAAACAGCGTTCGCCTTTTGAGCTGCGTGCTACATGCTAACAATGCTGTAGGAGATTTGTCTTCTGTCTTTTTTGCTTTGTTGCACCTGCTTGAGGTGATACTTAACTAAATACACCTTACCGGTATCCGAACTGTAAGGGATGTTGTTAACTTCAAGGTGGTTACGTAGCTTGTATCTTGTGTGCTTGCAGGTGCAATTTTGCAGGAAAATCTCCAATTTGAGAGAGCAAAAATGTCTTTCAAAATTGCCTAGGTTTTGTTAAGGCTGTTATTATGCCTTTGTGGTCTGAATTATTGTAGACATAGGCACATAGCATCTGACACTACCGTGCTGTTTGGTTTGTTCCAAAGTAAAGGAAACGTCAATTGAATTAGTTCAAACGTAAATCCCGCCGGTAACGTCCGCAGCTTATTATCATTTACGTTTGCGTTACATTTCTCTGCACCAAACAGCTTGTACATTGCAATGTTAAATTCCTTGAGACCTATTACGACTATAACACACTACTCTGATTGTAACAGCATCTCTGGTAGTCCCCCTTTGTCTAACCCACAATGAGGAAAAAAAAACTGTTATTTTGGAGATCCTATAGCTCCAGCAATTTCCAAACTCAACCCCAATGGAAAAAAAAATTCTCAATCTCTTAAATCATAGCCGGTCCACCCATCAAATAAAGGGGAGACCTCTCCTCCCCCGATCAACTATTTTCTAATTGGGGATTGGATTTTCTCGTTCTGGAGAGAATACCTTGAGCCTCAAAACACATTTTATGGCCCCATTCGCTTCGCTGGAAAAACAAGAAGAAACACTGTTTTGGTTGATTTATTGTGAGCGAAAACACTGTTCCGGCTGAAAAAAAACAAGTTGAAAAAAACAGATTATAAAATAAGCGAACAGGGCCTATATCTCCCCCAATAACTAGTTTTGGGGTTAGAGTTTTCTCCTACCGCTGGAGATGCTCTTAAGCCGCTACTCTGCATTGCCTAGCGAAGCATCAATAGCGTGCATGTTCGCTGGTTGGTTTCTGAGCTGATAAGCCCGGCTGGTGTTGGTTTATTGTGAGAGAAAAACACTATTGACTAGCTGATAAACCCTAACTGAAATCAACAAACGAACAGGCTGAGCATCTATGGTTAGTTTTCGTAACGAATATTATTCAAGGAACAAGGCCATGCCTCTGTGGCGTGTTCACGTCGCGGCGCTGGGTTATTAGTCTGCTGTTTCATGCAAGGTTCTACGTAGCTGGGTTACAATCGCGTTTGTCAATTTTGATCTTTGAGTGCTTTTGAAAGATTAATCGATTACTAAACACCTTATTCTTTTTTAGCATGTTCCTGTTAAGGAACTTTAAACTTCACCACAGCACATGGTAGAACCATGACGCTTTGTTGAAAACTACTCTCAAATCATGGATTTAGAGTGTTTTTTCATAGATTTCTAGAAACCGCGGTGGCAATGGCAACGATATCGGTGTGACACTGGCGGTGACCAAAAAGTTAATTTTTTTTAGTCTAGACTCCTAGTGTATAAGTTATAGTATCTGTACTCTACACAACGCACTCACACCACCACACACGTACACTCCTAGAAACTACAACATATACACCTTAAACGTCCTTCTGGAGATCACCGAAGCCACACGAGCCTCGTAGACGACAGGTACGTCGTAGTCCCATTATAGCGCCACGCGAGTGTTCAGGACCTGCACGAAACAAATATGGGGAGGAAAAACCCCGGTGCCACACCCGACCGATCCATAACTGGGATTCAAACGCGGGTGGGTGGCCTCCACGACGGGAGCGCTCACCACTGCGCTACAAGCACGTTGGCACTAAAAAAGTTAAGTGAGCTTGTTTCTTTGCTTTTTTATATTGGAGATCAAATTTTTTATTTTTTTGTGATGAGATTAATTTTTCTTTCAAACATTTATTAGAAAGTTGCAAAACCAATTTTTTTTGGAGTTTTTCGTTATACTATTGGAGATGCTCTTTATAGAGTGCTTGGTTGGCTTCTAATTTTTGTCAACCAAAATCATGACAAGCCAAATTCAAAGCTTGCTAATATTAAAGCAAAAAATGCACTTAACATGTCTACAATTCCTAGAGCTATAGTGACCAACTCGGGGAAATCTATGGATTTCGTAGAGCTAGAGGCCCGCCAAACATTGTCTTAGTCCCTGTTTGGCTCCTAGTGCAAACGTAGCAGATCGGTGTGCCCCTGTTGCCGCCCCTCCGCCTCTATTCCTGTTACATGTGGATCAGTGTCGAACCACCCCTCCCTTCAAAGAAGCCTTGCTGGCCCGCGGAGCACCCAGGGTCGAACCTAATGCAGAATCGGAAGCCGCTCACATGCCGGCGCTCTCGGCGACGCTTCCTGTGACCTCGCCCTCCCATCCCCTCACTCACCGTCCCCAACCTTGTCGTGGACGGACCTTGGACGAGCCTTGGACGGGCCTGGCGCGGGTAGCATGGCGGCACAACGTGAGTGGGCAAGTGCGACAGCAGGCCTGGTGAGGACGGAAGGAGACCGGCGAGCGTGAGTACAACGGCGAGCTCGACGGCCAAGCGGGGCCTCACCAAGGCGAGCTCGCCCAAGCGTGACGACGCAGTGAGGCGGGCGGTGCGCGGCTCCCTCGCCGAGATGCGGCGGCGCGCTGGGAACACGGGGAGGCAGGATGTGGAGGTGCCCGGAGATGTACGAACTCTACAGAGAGGCGGTGGGGGAGTGGACGTCTCGAGCAGTGCGACCCAAGGGTCGATGTGGGTCAACAGGTTTCCAACCCTTTGGACCCTCTTCCCGTCAGGAGCGATCCGCTTCGAACCATTGGCTAAATCAAGGAGCGGAGCATGTTTTGGAACGGGTTGACCCGCCCCTGTTGTAGGTTAAGAGCTTGTCATCTGTAGCTCTGGAAAATCTTGGATCTAGAGCTGCACGCATGTTAAGTATATTTGCATGACTCATTTTATTTAGATTTTATTTTTGTAATCAGTATTAGATGAAATAAAAATGTTTAAACCACTTCAATTAAGTCTATAAAACACAAATCTAGCATAGATCTCGGAGCTACAGCTGTAATTACGGGCTGATCTGAGCCGTTCGGAACCAACCAACGGTCGCGGCAAATTGTCGTGACTGTTTGCTGCGGCCTTGTCGGAACACTAGCCTGACCGCTCGCTCAGCGGCCGCCGCGGCAGTTTCTGCTGGCTCGCGTCCGCCGCAGTCTCCGCTGAGACTGCGGCTCACGGACGCTCCCTGTCATCCTCCCTCCTGATCGAAGCCTTCTTCTTCACCCGCTTTATCCCCGTCAACCGGACTCGCCGAATTCTCCAAACCCTAGCGCCAAAATCCCCATTCCGGTAGCCGCAATCGGAGCCGGATTCTCTCGGTTTCCGGCTGGCGCCGGTATCGCGTCTCCGCATGATGCAGCGAGCGCGCTCATGAACTCGATGGACGAAATCAACCTGCTTCGGCAGGCGCAGCGGCAGCATCAGCACCACCTCGTGGTGCGCGGCATCGGGGAGGAGATCGACCTCGAGATCGGCCCCGGCGACGACCCCTCGTTCTCCGGAGCTTCCTTAGTGGCCGTCACGTCCACGCACGACACCGTCGTCCACGCCGACGACCACAAGAGCCTCCTCATCCCGTGTTCGCAGACCGGCGCGGCGGACGGGCTGGCGCCGCAGCAGAACCTGGCGCAGGGGGAGGAAGAGCATGACGGGATGCTCAGGCAACCGTCGGGGCACACCAAGAAGAAGAAGAAGGTGGTGAAGAAATGGCGGGAGGAGTGGGCGGACACCTACAAGTGGGCCTACGTCGCCGTGCACGACAACACCACCAGGATCTTCTGCTCGGTGTGCAAGGAGTACGGCCGGAAGCACCGCCGGAATCCATATGGCAACGAGGGAAGCAGGAATATGCAGATGAGTGCGCTTGAGGAGCACAACAATAGCTTGTTGCATAAGGAGGCGCTCCGGTTGCAGATGGCCTCCAAGGAGAAGTTGCAGCCTCCCGAGATCGAGAGGCCGGTCTATGTCAAAGGTTGGTGTTGTCGGCTTGTTGACCCAGCTTCCACAGTTATACTGAAGTTTCACCTTGGAACCGATGTAAGGACTAGGCAATGTGTAATAAATTTGTTTCTAAAATTAGTGTATTATTTGGATATTCCAGGAAATATATTAACATTCAGTTTTAATTGTGTATTGCTGCATTGTGAGAAGTAGATAACATGGTTTTCAAGATATCACATGTTTTATTCTGTTCTGTGTAAGTGTGTAGCACAGGATGAAGTAACAGATATGGTCATATTAGCATTGTCTCTTCAATTGGACATTTAGTTATAGGATTTCCTTGTTGGCAAGTGCTTCATGTTCTACTAGAAAATGAACATAGCATGAAGCAGATATTCCAGTTTTATTTTCTTTTTGGAGTGGAATTACCGGTTCACCTTGAAGTTATTGTTATTTATATATTCAGTTTTGGAGCCGAATTACCAGTTCGCCTTGAAGTTACTGTTATTTATAACTATATATGATATGTGATGTTATCATCTGTGCTTTCACTTTCTTTATGCCCTCTATCCCAGTGTGCTCCATTTTCTATCAAAGTATCAAACCAAAACGACTGTATGATATTATATCCCTTGCAACGATCCAACAACTCTATGACATATGACCTTGCTCATTTTTTTGTCTGCATTTTGGAATTGTCTATTCCAGCTTTATCGAAAACAGCGGCGTCAATACTTGAATGTGTCCTAAGGAGGGATCCCCATGAAGCTGAATATATACAGTCCATCCAGGTGGTGGTTCATTCCTTAGAACCAGTTTTGGTGAAGAATACCCAGTAATTCTTCAAATCTCCCTCCATCCCTTATAGAAATAATATATGCCTAAACCTTCAGTATAACGTAGTTTCATTTGATAATGTTTCAGATATATTCAAATTTTGGAGCGTTTGTTGGAACCTGAGAGATGCTTTATCTTCAGAGTGCCATGGATTGATGACAGAGGTGAAGCACATGTCAATAGAGGTTTCCGTGTGCAATTCAGTCAGGCGTTAGGTCCATGCAGGGGCGGTCTTCGGTTTCACCCATCCATGAGCTTAAGTGTGGCAAAGTTTCTGGCCTTTGAACATGTAATACTATACTTGTCTAAAATTCACTTTCATGCTACAACACATAAGCTATTTGTTTTTCCCTTGTTTATTTACAAGAAAGACATTGCCATAGGTTGAAGTACCACTCTAGGTGAACTATGAAGTGCATTTGTGATGCTAATAACTTGCAGCCTTTTCTTAGCCAATGATTTTGAAGCCATGGGTGTGATTTGCTTAATGGATGCATTTTTTATGTTTGCGTTGCTTTATGGAAGAACTTTAACATGCTATCCCATCGTCTTTCTTCCATACAGACTTTGAAGAATGCTTTGTCACTGTATAAACTTGGAGGTGCTGCTGGAGGAAGTGATTTTGATCCAAAGGGTAAAAGTGATAATGAGGTGTGTGTACCGTATTTTGATTCCTCAGGACAATAACATTTTTTGCTACAAATCTCAAAATCTTGTCCTGTTAGATAATGCGCTTTTGCCAAAGTTTCATGGATGAGCTGTATAGATATTTGGGCCCTGATCAGGTACTTCCCAGTTAAACATGATACTCAGTTATTGGAGTTATTCATCTCTATATTAGTTAAATGAATCAATGACTGTTCTAAGTCTCTATTAGTATTTCAGACTTCGATCTTTTGGTCCAGGATTTTCCCGCTGAAGATATTGGTGTTGGTCCAAGGGAAATGGGTTACCTTTTTGGGCAGTATAGACGCCTTTCTGGTCATTTTCAGGTAGACTGGTGGTTCTGAAGTCCATCATATCCAGAATTTAGATTATGGGAAATCGTGGATACATCCTCAGTGTTGGGGGGGGGGGGTTATGGAGGTTATTTGTTTAGTTTCTGCTTCCACTTCTTTGTTCATCAGTTCTCTCTTGTCTGTAGATTTCAACTGTTGTGCTTATGCAGGGAAATTTTACAGGACCTAAAATTTTCTGGTCAGGGTCAAGTTTTCGAACAGAAGCTACTGGATACGGTCTGGTAAAATGCTACCTTAAATTTTCATTTGGCTGGAGATAGTGTGTTTTGTGGGTGCCATAGTTGTTTCACAAGTAATATTTCTGTTCCATGTGTTGACTGGACCATTGTCCGTGTTCAAAGTGAAACACCATATGAAACCATTCTGTCCGTGCAGGTGTTTTTTGCGCGTATTTTACTTGCTGAAATGAACAAAGAGCTTAAAGGATTAAGGTTTCTTACAGAGATCCATTGAGTTTTTCTTCGTTATAATTTAGCCTTTTGTTCGTTTCATACTATGCAATGTTTTCTGCAGATGTGTTATCAGTGGTTCTGGAAAGATAGCAATGCATGTTTTGGAAAAGCTTTTGCCTTGTGGAGCCATTCCTGTTACTGTCTCAGGTATACAGACTCAAAGGTTTCTTTGGACTGACTACACAGGATATACATGGTTTGGAATAGCATCAATATCATTATTGGCATCAGATGTGCCTTGAATTGGGTGGATTTATCATGTCTACTCATATGTGTTTGCCACTTTGCCTATCCTTGACATACAATTTCACATCATTAATATGTAGAAGTTAACTATGCTTGTATATGAAGGGCGGGCCTGGTGCAAGCGGTAGAGTCTTACCGCCTGTGACCGGAAGGTCCCGGGTTCGAGTCCCGGTCTCCTCGCATTGCACAGGCGAGGGTAAGGCTTGCCACTGACACCCTTCCCTAGACCCCGCATAGAGCGGGAGCTCTCTGCACTGGGTATGCCCTTAACTATGCTCGTATATGATTTCAAAATAGAAATACAGGTCTATATACAAGTATTCTTCTGATAGGTTTTTGCGCTTGCTAGCTTTCCTTAAATTGCACTATAGTGTTTTTTATGGTTTGCATTTGTTCGTAGGAATATTTATTGCTTGTCAAATCGTTAGGTAGATTTTAAGCATACCTACTATAGAAAAATAGTCGTGTTAAGATAACTATAGCATTTTTTTTTATGAGAAACTATAGCATTTTTAATGAAGGGCTGATTGTTATACTGTTCCAGATTCAAAGGGATATTTGTTAGATGAAGATGGGTTTGATTATATGAAATATTCACTTCTAAGGGATATTAAGGCTCAGCAAAAGAGCCTCAAGTGGGTACATGCCTTTCCCTTATTTTTAGATTGTACATGTGGAGTTTTTCAGATATCTTTCTCCATTTATTCAAACAGGGAGTACTTGAAATCATATCCACATGCCAAGTATATTGATGATGCAAAACCATGGAGCGAGCAGTGTGATGTTGCATTCCCTTGTGCATCACATAATGAGATTGACCAAGGGGAGGCCGTTGCAATCATCAACTCTGGTTGTCGTGTTCTTGTCGAATGTATGGAGTTTTGAATTTTGTCATTTCAATTTTCAGTTTCTGTTTTAAATTTTTATATTTATCATATGTTGATTAAAATATGTTGCCAACTGCAGGTTCAAATATGCCGTGCACTGTTCAAGCTGTTGATATCCTAAGAAAGGCAAAAGTTATTGTTGCTCCAGCAAAGGCAACTGCTGCTGGTGGGGTAATGCACTTCTTGACTGCTCTTACAAATCCATTCACATGTCCTGGTGTGAGATGATAGCAGAACAATTTTGTAGCTTCTTTCAGCGTAAAAATTTAAGAGCACCATTTTTCATGTCTATCATCGCTGCACTTTTCACTTGGTATGACTTTGATGACAAGTATTTGTAGGCTGAAGTCATTATATATCTTTATATACTATCTATAGAGCTTGAGACTGTTATGTGTTTTCTCCATTATCACAATTTATGCTTCTCTTGAAATAACAGGTAGCACTTGGAGAGCTTGAATTGAATCCAGAGTTTAATTTGATGCAGTTGTCAGTGGAGGATTTTGAGAATAAAATTCAAGTAAACTCTGCTGCTCCTGACTACTGCCATTGGCATTTTTTCCCCTTCTGCTTCCCAATTGTGATACCTTCTGAGTTCTCTTTTTTTCTGTTGGATTTAAGCAGGATGCAATAAAGCAAACGTATGAAAGGTCCATCAAAGCTGCTCAAGATTACGGGATCATGAAAGAGAGCCCCGAGTTTGTTTTCTTGTGCTTTGAAAAATCAGATGATGCTTTCACTTGGTTTCATTCGAGAAGCTGATCCCCCTGTCTCTCCATGCAGGTCTTTGGTCCATGGCGCGAACATTTGTGCTTTCCTTAATATTGCGCAAGCCATGGCTGACCAGGGATGTGTTTAGTTAGGCCTTTGATTCTGTCAAGAAGCTTCAACTGGAGCTTCCTGCAACTGCGAGGGGGAAAAAATCTTCTGATGACTTGTAGTGCTTCGATGCTTAAACCTTGAGTAGTGCTGCACAAATCATGAAGTGCTACAAAACAGGGAGTAACTAGGATTCATTCACCCTTGTTTATGCTAGAAATGTGTACAACTAAGGTCCCGGAAAGAAAGCCAGTTTTGTGGTACAATTAAGAAGAGCTGAGGATGTAGATCACCGGTGTATCATCCATTGTTATGAACGTAAATGTCAACGGAAAGTTGATGGAAGCAACTCATTTGCATGCAAAGCCTATAGTCGCACCAACATCTGTAACACCAAACTGATTTCATTAAATTTCCTATAAAATATGTTCTGATAGTGTATTTATTTGAACTTATAAATTTAATATATTTTTCTAAACACTTTCATAGTCGAGAAGATTGGCATATAGGATGAAAAAGGTGACACAATTTGGAACGGAGGGAGTAGTATTATTAGATCCACTGACATGATTTACGTATTATTGCATTCCCATGTCCATCAAATACTCGAGGAACTTTGGGCTTTTTTGCCATGCATGCTTCTCAGGAACCAGGGTCCGCAAAATTGAGAGATCTTTGAATTTTTTAGATATAGGAGTTTTGAATATCGTTCCATAAATTACTATCAAGTTTTGTCCCAAGCATGCAACATGCTCCACAAGGCAAAACACACATGTAGTAGCCGATAAAAAATACAGTAAATTATACAGCGAAGTATTAGGCAGCTTGATCTTCCAACTCCTTCAGCTTCTATATTAATGAGAAACAGCCCCCTTGATAGAGCTTGAAAGCATCCACTCAGATACAACCAAATGATGAGAAGCATCACAAAATAGAGAGCTACACTTGCAACATATAACCACATTTCTCTTCCTAAGGTAAAGCTGTGCCCGAAAAGGTACTTTGTTTGGCCTCGAAGGTTAAGCTGTTGACTTCCCTGATTGTTCGGCTAAATAATGCTCAAGCATGTCCTCTTCATCATCTGTACCAAATTAGGGCAACAAGTTTTGTAAGATAGGTTCCACTGGCAAAGTACATCTAATGTCATAAACAAAGAGTTTTCCAGAAGAAGTTTTACCTTCAAAATCATCATCGAATTCAATGTCTTCCTCCTCTTCTTCATCTTCATCAGCAACTGTGCTTGCTCCTTTCTGAAAAGATGGTTTCATGTAAAGTAAAACTTAAAAGACAAATACGTAAATTCAACACACTTATGGATTCATGTGAATAACTGAATGCGAGTGCATCCAAATAAGCCTTAAGAGGAAAGGTTTTATTATCTGGGATAACGAACCACTGCATGCCTTCCACTCTCAAAATACTGCCGTCCTGTGAGTTTCTTTTCCTTTGGGGCTGTAAGAGCTGAATCTGGCATAAGTCTGCATGCCCAGAAAATGCAAAAGATCATCTAAACACACATTTGGGTACTTATATAATAATGGAATCAAACACCATTATATGGAAGATATCAAAAGTAAACAAGAGTTTCCATGTGATCATCGAGGAAAACTTAATATGTAAACAAAATAGGAAGATTACTTAGCACGCTGTAAGGCCAACTCAGCTTCAAAACGTTCTCTCCAAGCCAGAAAGCTCTCCACAGTAACAGCTTCACCATGTGGTATAATAACCTAGCATGCAGACCAAATACTTTTCATCAGTTATAAATTATACTTGCTGAAAGGGAAATAATCCATGATAGCATGATACGACATGTAACTTTGAAATTTGATTGCGTAACTGGCTCAGTAGGACACAACCAATCAAGCATTAAATTCCAAAAATGCAGCATCCAGCAGGATTCTAAACAAAACCACCAAAAGGTGGTCTTAGATTGAGAAACCAACCATACCAGAACAAGCCTGGATTAATTTCACGAACCACAGCCAATTCAACATCCCCACTTGCTACAGCTGAACCCAGTTCCTACAGTTCATGAAAAAAAATGCAGAACAGACAAGTGAATAGGTGTATACCTCCTCTTCTTCCGCTTCAGTTTCTTCAGGTTCCTCATCACCACCATTCTGACCATATTTCTCACTTAGCCACTCTTTGGCTGATGAAACAAGAGTGTAGACCATAGCCATGCCAAGATTCTCTGTTGCCTAAATGATGGGATATTCAACAGAATACAATGTGACATATCTGGTGACTGATAAGTGATAATGTGATGAACTCACAAGTCACAACCAATTAGAAACTTCTAACATGGTCTGGTCATATTGGAGCACAAGATCCAGCCAAATCTCAAAACGGATGTCATTGATAAGACTTGAATTAATTCACATGACCTTTCTACAAGTTCTCTGCTATATAAGACTATAAAATACTAACTGTCCATGCTTTTTTGGTTCAATGCGAATTATTATAGCTAAAAAAGAATTGTTTCACACTTTCACTTTTGCACAGTTAACAGTTATAGCTATGTCAGATTGACGCCAAACTTGGAGTTGGGTATTCTGCATACCTCTTGCTCAAGCTTTTCCTTCAGGGATGTAAGATCATGTGGTTTAATCCCTCGTACACTGCACGGATATGTTCCGATCCAATGCAAGAATTAGACAATCAGCATTCAGCACACATCTTATGCCAAAATAACCATGAACTGAAACCAAGACTAGAATTTAATGGCAGAACCTTTTGACATTCAGTAGCGGAGGTTCATCAGGGTACTTCTCAGTGTGCGCAAAAATCAGGGCCAGTTGAACTGCAAATTAAAGCCAGACAGCAATCCAGTACATGCATGATGTTCTAGAACATTGAGAGTTGATTGATAATCACGATCATATATGTGCATATCTACAAATTTAGTTTTACCTGGGACATAAGCTGACTCGTCAAAATCATCATCCTGCCAGTAGTAGTAAACAGGTAATCAGTGGGGTTTTTTTAGGAAATCAATAGCATATTTGGAAAATAAACATCAAAAGAGCCTAATTCAATTCTCTCCGAACTCCCTAAAGCTTAAATGCACAGCTCTCAACCTTACCACATTCCTCACTGGAACACATGGAGTTCTAACAAAGTGCAGCCGTATCACACACTCACATGCTGCACTCGGTTAGGAGTTACCTGAGGAGAGAGTAGGATCTGGAAGCACCGGGCGGTGGTGGCGATCCCACTCTCACTTGGGTCGATCTCTGCATCAGCACCAACACGCAACATAACAACGATCAAATTTGGACAAGAAAATGGAATCGACAGCATGAATCCCCAAAACAAAAAGCTTGGAGGAAGCAGTAAAACCCTTGATGTCGTCCATGAGGATGGCCTGCAGCGCCTCCACCTCCATCTCCTGCTCCTGCTCGTAGTCTTCCCGCGCCGCCCATCGCAACCATACACAAGCAAAGACGCGGTTAGCAGCAAGAGCAAAGCGGAGGAAGGAAGGGGCTTCAGGATTTGGTTTGTACCGGCCATGATCGGTGCTGGTGGCGACGCTGCTGGCTGTACTTCGGCTTCCTACGGGGAAGGTGAGGACAAGACCTCTGCGGCGGCGCGGTGGAAGATTGGAGATAGGCGGGCGCACGGCGGCGGCTGCGTGCGTCGCCGGAGGAAGGGAGGTGTGAGTCGGAAGAGGAAGGAACTAGGATGGCTCGCTCCACTGTGGATGGGCCAGTCCAATAATGGGCCCAGGCCCACGAAACTGGCAGTCTTTGCCGTTGTTCATTGGATCTAATGGATCCGGCGTGACAGATGCGCCAAAATTAGACACGGCCCGAGGTCAGGAAACGGACTCACAGGCCCAGCCCAGTGACAGATGCTTACCTAGCGTGCATCTCCCCCGACCACCGTATCGCTCGCTGCCACGCGCGACGCGCCGCAATCGCGTTCTCCCTCCGTTGTTCTCCGACTCTCCTTGCCCGCCAAGAGCGAACAGCCGGCGCTGAGCTTCTTCTCCGGCAAAAGCGGCAGGCGCTCGGCTTCTTCTCCGGCAAAGCAGCCGGCGCTGGGCCTCTTCTCCTGCAGAAAGCGAACCGGCGGCGAGCTCCTTCTCCAGCAAATAACGACCGGCGGCGATCCCCATCTACAGCAAAAAAAAAAACGACCGGCGGTGAGCCTCTTCTCCGGGAAGTGCTATCCCTCTTTTCTTGTCTGCTGCTTTGTCAAAAAGCAACCCCAGGCATCCCTGCAGTTTGCCGTTCCTTGCTTCATCTCGGTGGCCATGGTGATCTGCAGTCCCCTTCTTTGTTTAACATCTCATCTTGCTTTTCTCTCTCTCTCTTTCTTCATCCATCCATACCGTCGAATCATGTCACAAAGTGGAAAAAATACAGATGAATTGCTGAATTAGGTTGTTACATAAGTTATATGCTGAACTCTCCCAAATTTCTATTTGTCGATCTTATTGAACTTACTGCTACTTTGTTATTTTATAAATGGTTATTAGTATTAAAATATACTAGCTATATCCCGTGTCAGTTTTTTTTAACAATAGCATAACCGCATGTCCGATATCTGGGCAACATAGCTCAGAACCTCATCAGTTTGGTTGGGTGCGGGCAAGAGGGGGAAGGTGGAGGCAGAGGTGGTTGTGGGTGATATGTCCTTTGGTATATAAGGCAATGGGGGGCTGCCACTGTGAGAGAGAAGATTATCGGCCTCATGGCATGATGGGCCAGACACCAAGGTCGATGCTGTCATCTGGGTGTGCCGCCGCAACGGGTCTTGGTGACTGGGGTGGATCCTTGGCACCAAAGAGCTGCCCAAGTACCGTGTTGTCCTGCTGAGCTCCATTGGCACGCCCATCTAGCTTCTTGGCTGTCCCGACGGCAGCATGTCCATACAACCCTATGCCCTCCAAGATTTCAACTTACCTGTCGTGTTAATCAGTTCAATTTCCCTACATTCCTGTGTTTTTTCAGTTTTTCAGTGTGTAGATACAATTGGTTCTGGTGATCCATGGCTGGCGCTATATTTTCTAGGAATTGTTCTTGCTACCTATAATTGGTGGCCCCCCTAGTTGCCTCCATGATGTGAACTTAAAGTGGGAGAGCTATCAGAAGGATCATTTAGGTGATAATATGCTTAATGCTTTCTATGTATGCCAATGGGGAAAAGGTATCGTGAATTTCTTGAAAAATAAGAGGTGTAGATTACAATTAGGTGGAGATGTCAATATGTTATATTAGCATATATGCTCCAAGTGTCGTGTATGTTAGAAATGTGGTGATGCTAAGGAACTGACTATCCAAATTGGTTTCTGAACTTTATTGGGGTGAAGTTCTTTGATTTGTTAATTAAGTGTATAAATATTCTATATTTCATTGTTCAGGTGGATTGTTTTGAATTTCCCAAAAGCACACTTTTCAAAGATTAATGTTTATCACTTCATATTTTAGATGTTCCCCCCTCTTTTCTAGCTAATTGTGAAAATGTTTATCTCACTGCTATTTCAAACTTTATCACAGTGATTAGTATAATCTCGAGAATAAGTGTGTGAAGCCATTTTGGTGTGGACAATTTGACGAATGTATAGAAGATGTCAAGGTTGGAGCTAGTGTTCAAAAGACAACATATACAATGAAGAGAAATATGCTCACAGAGAGGAGGCCATTCTTCATGCCCTTGAAATTGCGAAATCCCGGCAACCACTCAAGGTAACAATCTCAAAGAGCGTATTTTGTATTCCAGATTTAGCAGCCAGCTCATTTAGTTGAGTATGTAGCTTTGTGTTCTTCCTTTTAATCTTGTATTTCAATGTAAATTTTATGTATTACCCTCTGAACTTCCATAGGAAGCATAGACCAAATGTTTAACTGTTCTTTTTGTTAGGGCATTTGAGTATTTGTGGATCTTCTGTATCCATAAAGGATCAGATCTCAAAACCCATTGGTCAAACTACTGAATGTAGTAAGCAGGGCATACCTTATATCTGAGATCGTAGATCCAAGATGGAAATCATTGGCCTTGTCACCCCTATTGGTCCTTTATCTGAAGAAAACCACAAGAGCGACGAGAATTTGTTGCCACTGGAGTGTGAAGGGACAATGGAATGCCACGCACGAGACAGTGATGCTGTTGGGTTAGATACAAGAGTGGAAGGTGTTGTCTGTGAGCCCACTGACCTTCAGAATAATATACAAGTTTATGATGTCGAGTTGACTGTTCTAGGAAACTACACAGGTCGAGGCTTGCCCCTTGATTTCCTTGAGAGTAAAACGACTGGTGAACTCATTAAGGGCTACCCTGTTGATGTGGATGTTTTAGAGGATTGTTCTTCAGCGAGTATTCATTATCACCTCCCAGTGGTTAGGAGAATTGGGAAGAAGAGGCTGAGACGCGGACATGATGGAAGATGGATGAAGAGGACCCCACTACGTTTTCCCGCTGTGTCCACGGCCGTGCGTGCCATGTCCACCGCTGTGCAGACAAAAAAGAACTCAAACAAGGACCCGTTACTTGAGGAATGCTCCCTGCTATTGACACTAGCTGCGAAAGCCTCCCTGCTGCATACATGAAGACCCCTAGGAGCCGCAGTTGATTCCAGCAGCATGGGAGTATCATATGAGAATGACTGACCATTTTTTTTCTGGTTCCTGTGGCTCACCTTTGCCCCTTACACCTGAGGCGAGGTCCACCAGGAGCAGCAACGGCTGCAGTGCTGCACTTCTTTGTACTTATGTTCTGCCTCCCCTCTGTGCACCTGTGCGTTCGGTTTAGTTCAGTTGTGAGGAAAGTTGGGGCTATTTATGGTCGGAAGAACATGGAAGATCGAATTTTATTTTAATCTCAGCTGATACACAGCTGTTTCGATCTTTTCTGTTGGTAATTAGGGATGTACAGTGCTGTTGACTTTGTTGATCTCCACATAACTTAGAGCTGATTTAAGAGATCACTTATATAAATAATGAGTTATTTAGTGTAGTTTTTGTATGCCCCTACAGTATTAGTTCCTCTGGGTTTTCGTTGCTTAGAACAAACATTGGTCAAACATTAAGAACCACAACATAAATAACTACCATTACATTATTCAGTTTGAAAACATGTTAGTTATATGTCTGGATTTGTATTCAAAATACTTGTAATATCTATTATGTTTGAAGGGTTTTAAAAATATATATATTCTAGAAAAAAAATAGTGGTTAGAGAATACAAGATTTCTTCCGCCATCCATCCTAAAATACAAGGGATCTAAACATTTCAAATTTTGTACCAAATTATAAAGGAATCTATTAACCCTCCAACTTAGTTTAAAAGGGCAACATTCGTATGCATATTGACCATTAATTGTAGAATAAAATGCTAAACTTGCAGATGGTGTCATATAGGTCCTCAAACTCTTAAAATGCACATCTTGGTCTATAAACTTGGCACATGATACGTCATAGGTCCAAACGGGTCTAGGTCCTTAAACTTTCAAAATGCACATCTATATACATAGTTTAAAATATATAAAAAATAACATATATAATAAACATTTCAATAACTAAACATATCAAAAATTAATATGGTTAGTCATATTAAAACTAACCTTTTTATATCATTTGATGAGGACATGACACACATCCATAGCCATGTTTGGCGCATGGTATGGCGGGGTAGGAGGCCAGCAAGGGTGTCTAAGTCAAGAAGGAGGCCCGAGGCTAATTCGGTTTGAGTCCCCGAGGTGGAGGCCCAAAGCAACTCAAGTTCAAGCCTGTCTCGGGTTCTAGGACCAGTCTGCCTTAAACTGGTCACCCAAGATGCATCTGGACTCCGTTTTCAATGATCCACATATGGTTGGAAAGCTAAATTGATAAGGAAGCCAATGCAAGTGGTCTCACATCAAAAGCCCTTCGAAATCAACGGGAATCATCGAAAAAAGTCAGCGTCCAGAATCTGCCAGGGTGCTACGACACCGTCTTTTGGTCCGTTGGACCGTGTATCGTATTTGGGCCCATTAGGGGGGCGCGTCCAGGGGGGTGATGTCCAAGACTCTATAAATAGCAGCCATCGCTCTCCTTACGATTTGGGGGTTTTGTTTAGTTCTTGATTTCCTCGTGAAACAGACATCGTTTTGCTGCAACTGTGCCGTCAAGGCTGCTTACTGTGAACCAGGGCCCCAGTTCTTGATCTTGTTCGCCTGTGGCGATTAATCCTTTTGAATAAAGACTTCAACTCCTTGTTTTCATAAGCCTCATATTTATTTGTAATTTCAGATTGCGTTTATCTCGTTCTTGCTTGTGTTCTTGATTCGCTTGTAGGAAAGCCTTCTCGGCGAGGTCAATCGCGTTCGCGTGGTTGATAACCAACGGAACAGTGGTGTAACGGTTGCGGGAGTCTGAATCAGTCTTGGTTCGAAGCCTAGATCGTGAACGTCGAGTCTCCACCAATCGACGCTATCATACCTTTTGGAAGATCGGACCTAGTCTACATCAGGTGGTATCAGAGCCCTTGTTGCCCGTTAGGTATAACTTTGTTTTCCCTTTTAGATTGTTACTGTTTTTGCATTACCTATAGTCCACAAAAAACCAAAAAATATACACCGCCACATATTCCCTGTCCTATAGCTTTGTTGTGCTATGCAATTTCGTCTCTGTTTCGCGTTATTGAGTTTGTGCCCTAGGTCAAGTTCTGGTTGCTGGTTTTAGATCGTTTTGAGTCCGGTTTATATTTTTTCCTTTGTTTTTCATCATAATCCGTGAACATCTTTAAGTCTTCCTGTGTTTCCTTTGTATCCATCAAACCCTAGTCCACACCATCTAATTTGTTACACTTGTCTTCACCGTTTTCATCAAATCCTTGCTGCCGTGACCAATTTTACGCGCATTGTTCTCGTTTTGTCCTCTAATTCAGAGTCAGTTCGTAAAAATGGTCTAGTTTTCGCATACGAACTCGGATTTCGACGTTCCATTTATCAAAATCGATCAGAAAAAAATTTCAGATCCATCCATCCCCGCCTTGTTAGGGTTGGAAATTTTTATTTTGGTCAAAAACTGGTCACAAGATCTTTTCGTGGTCACAAGCTTTTTGTCGATTTTGAGCACGTCTTCTGAAATTTCCATAGGCCATGTCTTTCACTTGTTTAAGCTCATATTTTCTGTGGTTACTTTTTTGTGCTCCTAAGTGAAGGAAAAATATCAAAAAAAAGAACAAGTCGAAATTTCCCAAAAAAACAACGACAACTCAAAAAATAGAAAAAAGAGGGGCAAAAGAGAAACAATATCTAGAAGAGCACATAGAGAGCGCCATTTGAGCTGTGTTTGCATGTGCTGATTGCTGCCTTGTTCCTAATTATATTCCTGCTGTTCACATCACTTGATATATCTGGTACTTAGAACGTGAGTAGGCCAGCAACTAAGACAAGTACTCGGGATACTTATTCAGCTTTGCTATTCAGTTACGAATATTGCTATTCCTTGCCACTATATTATGTCTGTTCAAGCTCCACTTTCTTCTAACCAAGTACAGGTTTGCCTTGCATCTGTTACACTCAAGCTACAACGGTATCACAGTCACTGACCGATTGTATCGCCTGTTGCTTTGGTAAGAACACTTGTAAGACCGTGGTAAGACGCTTGAGAGTGTGTGACTTTACTCCTTGACCACATCCTATAGTAGCTGATAGGAAAATACATACTTGTGTGTTTTCTTGTTTGATTCTAACAATGATAGGTTGTTCGTATCCACCGACTTATGATGGTATAGGTGCTGATGAGTACAAGGAATGGGAAATTGCCATAGATAACATATTTACTACTCGGTTTATGTGTCCAAGGTAAAAAATACAGCTAGTGTTTTGCGACATTCTACTTTATCTTGATGGGAGTCTTTAGATCCTTCTGATAAACCTCAAACTTGGAATGATATGAAACTACTTATGCGAGAAACCTTTGTTAATCCACCTCCTGTTTTGACTTCATATGCTGAGATGCACTATTTAGAGAAAGAGTCTGTTGTTATTCCTCTTGCTATGACTAACCTTCTACAGGATAATGTACATAAGCGAGAGGATGACATGGAAGAAAATGAGGAGCTCACAACCTCATATGCAAATTCAGAACCATCACTTCACAATGCACCTATTACTCCTGCTGAGAACACAGGTAATGCCCATGATGCTACACTCACGGAAGGTGAGAATTGTTTTAATATACTAATTTTTTTCACAAACCATGCTATCATAGAGCAATTGTTAGTGGAACCCTCTCTTGATTTATCTTTGTTCCATGATAATTCGCTTGATGTTCCTTGTGATAAAGATAAATTGGTTGATGATGCTTCAGTTTTACATGTTTTGGAACCAACCACTTGTGCTGAAAATAAACATGTTATTCATATTGCTACTAAAACTGATGAGCTCAAACTGTTGTCTTCTTTACATACTTTGGGTTACATTAAATTTGATGTTTTGTGTAACCTAGATTGTTTGGAGGAGAGCCTTTTTAAATATGCTGATTTGTTTTGGTTTTTTAAACACACATATCATGCTTTTGGCAAATATAACAACAAAGGACAATATATGATACATCAAGTATACGTTCGTAGTAATATGAATTCTCCTTTTGTTGTATAAAATTATGATCGTTTAGAGGGCAGCCATAATAATACAAATATTTTCTCATATTAATCAAAGAAACAAGTTCACTTTCAAGAAGGGGAGCATTGTTGGTTGCTACCTATGTCTGCTAGACCATCTATTCCTGCATTGTCTTTGGTTAGTTCTAATCTTTTGCAAGATAGTGTTGACATACATCATGTGCATTCGGATCATGGAGTCTACATGTTTGCTGAAATTTTTATGCGAGATGACGTGCTAGAAACTTGGAAACATGGTCACGTTTCTTCTCACAATTATTTTAGTTTCTTTAGTTTTCGCAACCCCTTTCTCTTTTGTGTTGTTCAGGATCAGTTTTTCAAGCACAATCGACGTCGAGGACGGCTTTTCGTTAAGAAGGGGAGGATGATGAGGACATGACACCCATGCATACGACCATGTTTGGCGCATAGTATGGCGGGGTAGGAGGCCAGCAAGGGTGTCCAAGTCAAGAAGGAGGCCCGAGGCTAATTCGGTTTGAGTCCCCGAGGTGGAGACCCAAAGCAACTCAAGTTTGAGCCCGTCTCGGGTTTCAGGACCAGTCTGTCTTAAACTGGTCACCCAAGACGCATCCAGACTCCGTTTTCGACGATCCACGTATGGTTGGAAATCTAATTTGATAAGGAAGCCAATGCAAGTGATCTCACATCAAAAGCTCTTCGAAATCAACGGAAATCGTCGAAACAAGTCAGCGTCCAAAATTTGCTAGGGTGCTGCGACACCGTCTTTTGGTCCGTTGGACCGTGTATCGTGTTTGGACCCATTAGGGGGTGCGTCTAGCGGGGTGACGTCCAAGACTCTATAAATAGCAGCTGTCGCTCTCCTTAGGGTTTGGGGATTTTTATTTAGTTCTTGATTTCCTCGTGAAACAAACATCGTTTTGCTGCAACTGTGTCGCCAAGGCTGCTTGCTGTGAACCAGGGCCTCAGTTCTTGATCTTGT